GTTTTGATCACTTAGTAAGGAATGCACTTAAAAGCAAAAGTAACACCTAAGAAAAACGAGGAAGAGCACGAAAAACGACCATTAAAGAGGACCGCGCTCTCGTCCGTATGTCGAAATCGAAGCCATTTGCTACTTCTAAGGAAATTAAAAACGCTTTAGAACGTCCCATCAGTTCTCGAACAGTTCGTCTTCGCTTAGCTATCGCAAATTTACCAGGGCGCATCGCGAAAAATGTTCCCCTTTTAACCAAAACCAATATCCAAAAAAGAATGTGTTTTGCCAGACAAAACATGAATGAGCCTAACAGTAAATGGCGAAATATTCTGTGGTCTGACGAGTGCAAAATTAATCTTTTTAGTAGCGATGGCCGCACTTATATTCACAGACCTCCACGGAAAGAACTGACAGCTTTAAATAAATTGGAAATAAAATGAAAATAGTCTATTTTTTTTGCCAACCTATTTTGACACTTTGAGCGTATCGATCGTGCTTTCTATTATTTTTGATTAGAAAGCTAAACGGTTGTGTTGTTGCTTAGAACAGATGATCAATAAAAGAAAAACAGTATGCAAAAGTTTATCCTCAGTGCATTCGTATTGGAGATATGGAAGATGCAAGATGCAATGCCTACGAAGGCCAAGAGGCTAATTTTTTTTCCACCAGTGTAAATAAAATAGGGCGTCTTTCAACTAAATTTTAAAATAGGGCGTTGTTGAAAAATTTTCTGAGGTAGGGTGTTTTCAAACTGGCTGCCGAGATAGGTCGATCTTCCACTCAGCCATCGATGTGGAATTAAAAAAAAATGATTCTGCTGGGCTGGTTTTTGCTGTTGAATGTACTATATTTTGATAACAAAATAAGAAAAATTTGGTATTGATATTTTTGACGCTGAATCCTTCTAAATTGTATAAAGATTCGCTTTGCTTTAAACAAGCAAAATATTGTATTCAAAGGTATGCCAAATACTTGAAGAATAAAGCTACAATTATTCTTTCTCTGGTGTATATTTTGTAAAAACGGACTTAGCAACTTTTCTTTCTAAGGGCTAGTGTTTCAGTGTACGGCTGCGGTATAAACTTAGCTCGCTGGTTTAAACCAAAATTAGCCAAACACAGTTTACGTGATCTAGAAGTTTAAACTAGCACTGAAGTTTAAGCTGGCTCTAAGCCAGCGAATTGGAACTTGCGTCTTCTAAAAGCTCTTTTTACATTCGTCGAATGACAGTAGAAAAAACTACCATTCTGTGATGGTTTCAACAAGACACCGCTCCAGCTCATAAGGTAAAATCGGCACAAAATTATTTAGTGAAACTATGGAGAGTTGAAAATTCTCAATGGAGTGTATACGCAGTCGGATGGTCCAAAAATGCATGTGAAAAAGTTAAGTCGGAATTTTTATGCTCTCACCCCCTAGGATTGTTCTATACAGAAAAATATACCCGTATTTCTTTTATTTTGAAATCAAAAAATATTTAGAGGTCGCTCAATACGCCCAAAGTTTTCCATGTATTTTATATGGGGAAAAAAGCTTTTCGTAGAAATGGTATAGAATAGTTAAAAATCAATATTTACCAGAAAACTCGGTTTATCTGCAGGAGACTCCAAAGTAATAATACCCAATTGTTTATTTAAAAGAACATGGAAAACTTTGAGCGACCTCTAAATATTTTTTAATTTCAAAATAAAATATAGGGGTATAATTTGATTTAGATAATATATCGTTCCCCACATGCCAGAAGCATGAATGTGCACAATTATTAATTTTGAGTTAATGGGTTGACATGATTAACTTTTGGAGCTTTTTTATTTATTATTTAGCTTGATCTGTATGTATGTATGTATGTTTGTTAGGGGCAAATCTTTAAATCAATTTTTGATCAACATCCCGATGACCTAGAGACTTGAAATTTCACAGTTGGCTCGGAACCCGATGACAATGCAACACCAAAGACGAGTTATTCCGATAGGTGGCGCAGGAGTCGAGATTTTCGAAAAACGAGAACGTACACTCAGAAAAAAAAATCCTTGATGCTAGGAAAAACCCATATTATTCTAAGGAAATATTACCTTGAAATGGTTCCAATGACATGGCTGCCTTAATATGATTAAACGATTTGACTCAGTTTAAGGAAAACGCAATTCCTTAGTTTTTAGGAAACATTTACTTCACATTTGATACCCCGTGAAATGAATAAATATGTCATTTTGCTCGCGGCGCTCAAACAGTGGCAATGGCCGACAGAGCAAAGCTCTTGTGCGCTAGTCGAGAGATGCAAGTCCCAGAACAGGATTTTATTTTTTATTTATTTTTATTGCAATTTTTTAAATTGTATTTAAAAAAAAAATATCTTATTTAATTTTATGGTATTTGAGGATTTAGGTTTTTCCATACATGAAATTAATTTTACTATTTGCAATTTATATTTCAATTGAAATAATTGACTTACCTTACTCTAACCATCTCTGACCGGACTCGAAGAAGTAGTGCAACCGTTTTGATCCAAGTGGATCAAACCTGATACATTTTTCGATGAATTTTGGAGAGATACTTTTTTTCAATTTTGATACTTTTCCAAATACAAATGAAAAAAATCTGTAAATTTTTATGCATTACAAAACATGTCGTGCACCTGTGGCAACGTACATCCAAAAATTCAATGTCGTTCTCTGAACGAACCTTTCATGTATTGTGACATGGTCCATGTCGAAAAACGTCAAAATGTGAACAAACGAACAGTATAATAGCGCTGCATTTTTTTATTTTCACTATAACAAAGATTAGGGCTTGGTACTCGGCAATTCGGTGCTCGGTAAGGCCCTGTTTCCACAGGAAAACACCAATGTCGTGATAACCATGTCACAAAATATATTTCCAATGGATACCGCCTTACCGCTTGACATCTATTGCAGGCAATTTGATAGTTTGACAGCCATATTTTCACTTGATAGAAAGCGTGCTGGTGGTTATATCGATGAAATATTAATATTAAATCAAAATAAGAATCTGTTCCCTATTGGATTATTTATGACAACGTTTTAGGAAGCTTTCAGTAAGTTTGTTTAAGATTTAAATGTTTTTAATACCGAAATTGAGAGAATGTTGTCTGGCGGCGTCATGCGGCAAATGCTTATACATATGAAGACATCAAAGTGCCCACACACAACAGCTGGTAGGCAATAAAAATTGCAAGGTGTAACTGCAACTGAAATTGTGCAAATCGCTCTCGGGGAAATAATTTCAATTTGCTCGTGCAATAAATGTTACATTGTTTTGGAAAATGGTTTTTCATAAAAATTATTGGTTTTATTCCATATTGATGCTTTGATACTTAAATGAAAAAGTGTTACATATTGATACATTTTAAGTCTCTTTTCTGCTACAATTTTTCACAAGCCCGCGGTCACACTGACCAGAAGCAGTAGTGTTCACGCGACGCCACAGCCGACATTTGCCAGGAAAGCATTTAACTTTGTCTTAACAGCACTGACAAAATTCAAAATTATTTAAGTAAATTATACTTATATTGATGAAATTATTACTTATATTGAGTAAATTTATTTCCTCAAATTAATGACGTCCTATTTTTGAATTAACGAAAAACTTCTCAAATTGAGTAAATTTTTCGTAATGTTAAAGAAAAAACAATAACTCTAAAATAAGAATACTGTTTTCTTCTTTTAAGGAAATGCTTTTTTCAGAGTGTATGTGTATATCAGGGCGATTTTTTTGCGACTATTGTTTTTTTTTCACTCCTACATCAAAATTTGGTGGAAAAACACCTAAAAAAAGCTCCCTGAAAATTTGAACCCTTAAAACATTAAGTACTCGCCCAAGGCGTGCAAAAAGTTTTCCCATATAAAATACATACACGTAAACTTAAAAGTCTACAGCTCAGAGGCATTTTATGGTATAATCTTGGTCAATGATAGGTTTTCTTCAGAATTGAATGCTCTACAAAAGTGTCCATTGCGGTGTAATCCTAACTCCCACCAGCGGGGTAGTACGGGTAACTAAACCCAATTTTTTTCATGAAACTCCCGTTTTTTTGCCCCTATCTCGAAAATAACAAGAGCTACAGAAAAAATATAAATGACAAACTTGTAGGACTTTCACTTTCCTACAAAAAAGTTTCAGAACACAAATCGCTAACATCGATATTTTTTTTAGATATTGGGCATTTAAGTGTAAGGGGTGTGAAGTGACTTATGCCACTTTCAAAATAAACGACTCATGTATGTGTTTCAAACTACTATTTACTTATTAAACGATTTCTAATTTGGACTTCATTCAGCACTTTTTTGAAAATCGACCAAATCGGCGTGACCAAGTCCATGGTCCATTAATCCAAAGATCGATTAATCGAGCCCTTACGATGCGATTTTTTGTCGATTTTTTAGTTGCGATTCAATTCGTGAATCGATTAAAAAAATTCGATTTTTGCTCAATTGATGCATGTTGAACTACGGTCTTTTCACTCTGATCATTTATGTATACATTTGTCTATATCGATATCGATTCCTTTAGGCTGTTACAAACAACCGTTATGAGAACAAAGTTATATAACCCTTGTGCATAAGTGCGCTAGGGTAAAAACGAAAAAAAAACAATTAAAATCCCCAACCTGGGAAAACTGAGACTTTACTTTTCTATATACCTACAGTCTAAGCTTTCCGAAAAAATAATTTCATCAATTACCCAGAAAAAACTAAAAATTCCGTAGTGTTATTGACTTGGATCGAAGAAAACATAATATTACTATCAATCAAATGCCTTTTATTTTTCTCCAAACAAAATCGATCCAGCCTAACATACATGTGAATGTATGTACGTACATGTGTGTGTATTATCGCTAGCAATACTTCCAGCTCATCAAAAAAATATACCAATCCAATCGACGACAACATTTTACACTCGTCATGTCCAAGTGTCCACTTTGCAAATAAAATCGAAAATCAACTGGCGCTTTGTCATGCCTTCGCTTTATAGCCTGAATTTATTACCATTACAAACTTTGCTGAAAATACTCTGATTCTCTCCAAAACAATTACCGCCTCATTACCGCACGCGATCAGTAATCACACGTCCGTTCATTCAGATACTCTCACGTTGCTTTGGGCTGGTTCATTTTCTCGACCGATGCTCTGCGCTCAGCTCTGCTTCCCGGTTGTTTGGCCCCTTCTGGTCAATAGCGAAATATTTATCTACTCAGCCAGAATCGGTGTACTGTGATAGTGCCGACAACTTCATGCATACATTTGCCCCCACTGCGATTTGTTTGCCTACAATTTTACACACATGTGCAACTTTTAGATGCGCGTATATTGTACGAGTTTATGATTTTACACACTTACTTGCATGCGCTGACTAACAAACTAGCAACCATCTCATCTTACTTTGCCGCGTTACCTCCACTCGCGCTCGAAATGCAAACTGGAATGTGAATGGAATTTCAAAAATGTTTCATCGTTACCAACGCTTGCCAACATACCTACAAGCGCATTCACTGACGCTTGCAGGCCCGACAACCGACTAGCCCCAACCATCCAACAAGCCAGGCAGATTGTTGTTCAGCTGGCGCGCACTAGTAGGTGTGTACCCGACGGCGTCGCACTGTAGTTCAAAATTGGCATTTTGTTTTCAAAATTCACTGGAGCCTTAATTTTTTGTTTATTATTTTTTAATTTATTAATTATTTGAGCCCGATTTTTGAATTTTTGTTTGGTTTATTCAATTTTTGATTGCAGTGTGCACAAAAAGAAGCAATTTTATAGAAAATCGATTCTCCTGTTCTAGTTAATAAATGTTACATAATAAAAACATGTTGAAAACAATTGTATTCTAGTATAATAAAGTGCAAGTTGTAAGTGGGTAAGAGTTATGGTTGATTTTTAATGATATAATACAATTATTTCCTATTTAGCTTGCAGATGTGCTCGAAATGTTAACGAACAATCACGCGACATCTTAGACACTTGCGAATTGCACTTCATTGTAGTAAATGATCTATAAAACTGCATACCCACCATTTTTCTAGAAACTTTTTTTAATTTTGGTGAAAATTGGTCTATAGCATTTAACATTTTTTTTTTGTTTTGGAAGAACCCTACTATTGTTTTATGTAACATTTATTAACTGGAACAGGAGAATCGATTTTCTTAAAAATTAGCTATTTTTCTGCACTTTGAACTAAAAAGTTTAATACAAATTGAAAATTTTATTAACTTTCATTTCAAAAAATCTTCAAATTGAGTAAAAAATGAAGGCTCCAGTTAATTGTGAATACTAAATGCCAGTTTTTAACCACTGTGCGTTGCGTTGGCGTTTGATTATTTTAAGTTGACGACTCTGTAGCAGAGGTAGACCCTGAAACGTCGGCTGTGGCTGCGAGCAGCGTTGCCGAATTGACGATTTCGTCGTCATTTTGACGTTATTTAATTTTTATTCGATTTGACGATTTGTCCCCCGTAATGACGATCTTTTATTTTGATTTGACGATTTTTTCCCCGTAATGACGATCTTTTATTTTAGCTTTTCGTCCAAATTACATATGTACATATGTATGTAAAAAATTTGTTAAAGGAAAACGTAATCCAAAATACAACCATGCATTTATCTAGTTTTGTTCTGCAACCGTGATTTTAGTTATATTAAATTGGTTCTAGAATTGTAAAGAGACAGAAAAGTAGGAGAAGGAATATGTTCGGTGAAAATTATCTATCAGTTAGTAAATGCTAATGTTACACCATTATCGCACACAAGGGGTGGGTTTTGGGGTTCAAACCCCCCTAAAGCTAATAACCTCAAATACAAACTGTATCTTAAAGCTAAGAATCCAGCTCTCAAAGAAATTATAAGAAATATTTATTATAATTTCTGTTGCTTGAAAAAGCGCGTTGCTTTTGCTGTAAATTTTCACGAGGAAATGAATATACTAGCATTTTTTTCTTGAGAGCTGCAAACTGATTTAAGAAATTTTGGTAGAAGAAAATTTCTTTTCCATTTCTCGTCCGTCGTTTTATATGAATTTTTCGTTTTTCTTGAGAGTTCAGTTAATTTTTTCGGTATTCGAAATATTAAAAAAAATTAGAAATCGTGAAAAATCAGCGATAGAGATGCCAGAAACCAGAAATCGAAAAAAGGAACATAAAAGTGCAAAAATTCATGGAATCAATAAATTTATTTTTACTGAGTCTTATTTAAAATTTTTTCTTAGGTACTTTTGAAAGTTGAGCGCATCTTGAGTTTATAGCACTTTTTATTAAACAAGTAGTTTTTAAGGAAAGAACACAACGGACTTCAATTCTTATATTCAAATTTAGGGGCACCGTTAATTTCTTCATGATCCAATCATCGGATCTCTAAACCAAATTACGGGACGAACCTTGAGGTACCATCTTTCTACAAAAAAATTATTATTGAAATCGGTTCACGTGGTCCAAAGTTACGTATTCCGGCGAATTGATAACCTCCCCTTTTTTTAAAGTCGGTTAAAAGTGTTTGAGTTCTGTTAATCTTATGTAAATAAAGTGCAGTTTATGAATTTTAAAACGTTTATTTATTTATTACATACTGTACATAAAACTTGCATAAATATATTTTAAAGAGCGTATTATCTGAAGAAATTCAGTATTTTCCGGTGATATATCTTCAGAAATATAAAACCCCCCTAAAATATATTCCTGGGTGCGCCCCTGTGTTACACTAAGGGTATTCACATCCATTTAGGTAGTTTTGGTAAATTGCTGTAACAGAAAATTTAAGGAAATTTACTAACCCATACGCGTTATGCCTTTCGGCAGCGGGGGGATTTAAAATTGAATAAATATCAAACAGCTGATTGCAGTTTTCAAACTACAAAATAAAATCGGTACTTTTTTCTAATGGAATTATAAAATCTATTATATTTTAAGGCGTCCACCAAAATATTTCGGAAAAATATTAAGATTTACGGGAGTTGGATTTGAAATACCAAAATGTAGTTTTTTATGAATAAAAATAGTTTCTTAAAGATGTTTTTTGAAAAAATCCCCTCAAATGACATAACGGTTTTAGATTAAAAAATTTGCATAAACATATTTTTTCTTGTTTTTTGTTATTTTATGGCCTTATAACAATTATATTCAACAATTTTTATTGAGCTTGAGGCTGTTTTTAATGAAAAAGTTATTGTGGAAAAGCAACAATAATTTGAAAAAATGGTAGAAGTGATAGCTATTTCGGAAATCACCACATTTCCTCATCAGACTTCTTTCAGTAGGATTCGAACCGACGATCACCACTGACGCACTGTGCTAAGCACAGTATCGGACATACATACATACATATGTATCATTTGCAACAAAATGTTTATTATGTTTATTTATTTATTAAGAATTTTTATTTAAAATATAGTTCGATCTATAACAGAAACCACAGAAATAAAAATTTCAGAAATTGCACAAAGTACACAAAAATGAATCAAACTTCAAAAAATGTTCATCAAAATTTTAATCAGAACTTTCAGGGTATGCAGTTTTGTAGCCCGTTTAATTTTATTCAACATGGTGCAAGTTTCAAGTCACTAACAATTACCGTTGATATTTTAGATTTTTATTTTTTTTTTGTCATTTTCTTCTATATAAAAATAGCTTTTGTTTATACGTTATATGCAGGGCCGAAAAACTAAGCATGAACAAATCAATTTTAAGCGCTTGGAAAAGCACTAAAACATTAGCAAATATGCTTGCAAATATGCTCGAAAAACAATAAAAAAACCTAAGCACAGTTAAATTTTTTGTTTTTATTCAGTTCATTTCAATGATTAAAAAATTACAATGGACAATGGACAGTGTTGCTTGATATTCTTAAAACAAGTAGATGTTTAATGAGCTGCTCTATGTTACGCGAGGTTAAGACATCTCACAAAATTGTGTTTCATGAGAATTTTTTTTGCAATTTTTTGTTTCATGAACCTGCGCTTAGTGGAACACGTCTGTCAAGTTAGCACTACACTAGTTGAAATTGGAAACGTTAACTATGGCATTAATTGTAGTGTTTTTGTTGTGGAAAGAAAAAATGTGTAGCTATCGTTTTTTAGGAAAAAATGTATGTATGTAGTGCTAACTTAGCACCATGAAAAGATGCGTAAAGATAAAGGCAAAGATTAAGACCAAGGTAAATTTAAACACTTTACTTATATAAGGGCAAAGATGAAGGGGAATATGTAAATGAAAAAATGATAAACATAAAAATAAAAACAATGAATAATAATAAAAGATGAGGATAGAGGAAGAAAGATTAAAATAAAGGTAATTATAGAGAAAAGGATATAGATAGAGACACAGAGACTCAATCTGAGAACTATTTTGGGAATTTAGAGATTTTCTGGATTCTCGGGACTTATCGATATAATAATCGACATTTTTATCGATTCGATTTTGTTATCGATATTTTATCGATTTCGTTATCGATATTGTTGTCGATTATTTATTATCCATTTTGGTATCGACTATTTATCGATTTTGTTTTCGATGTTTTTGTCGATTTAGTTATCGATATTTTTATCGACTTTGCTACCAGTGTTATTGTCGATTTTGTTATCCATTATTTTATCGATTCAATTATCGACTATTTATCGATATTTTTATGGATTTGTTATCGATATTTTTATCGATTTTGTTATAGATATTTTTATCGATTTTCTAATCGATTTTGCTAACAATATTATTATCGATTTTGCTATCGAAATCTTTATCGATTTTGCTTTCGAAATTTTTATCGAATTTGTCATCGACTTTGTAATCGATATTATTATAGGTTTTGTTATTAATATTTTGGTGGATGTTACTATCGATTTTGTTATCGACAGAGTATAAAGACAAAAATTAAGATAAAGGAAAACAGAATAACAAATCATCTAGATAGAAAAAAAGACAAAAAATATAACCTTAAACAAAAGCAGATTTATGTATGTATGTATATTGTTTATGAGACAAAATAGATATGTAACGTAAGTTTCCCTCTCCAATGTGGTCCAGGCGCACTTACTTTTTTTATAAGTGCCGGATGTTTTTTAGAATTAAATATTAAATAAAAAACTAAAGGCGCAAAAACATTGGGCGAATAAAAACAAAAGATATTGTTTAAAACATTTTCATAAAAAAGTTCTTTCATTTTAATTGCGTGGTTTCCTTTATGAGACATTCGTTTCTGTCCATATGTATATGTGCATATAAAATGCGAATGCAATTAAAATTCTTTGAAGGTATATTAATTATTATTTTTAGTATAAGTACATATGTATGTATTTATGCTGGTGCGTTTCAATTGATACTAATTTGTAGCAAACATAGCACTCGCACATCAAGAGGTTGATTTGTTTGTTTACAGTTTTTTGACATTATAACTAGCTACAAGAGAGCTCGAGCTAGTTGTCACTTCTACCTTATTAA